GTAATAGCCCTAGCTGTCTTGGAACTCACTTTGTAGACCAGGCTGGCCTCGAACTCACAGAGATCCACCTGCTTCTGTCTCCCAAGTACTGGGATTAAAGGCATGGGCCACCACGCCCGGCTAATTTATTCTCATTTCCTTTGACTTTCTCTCTCTGTTTTTCAAGACAGGGTTTTTCTGTTCCGCCCTGGCTGTTCTGGAACTCCCTTTGTAGACCAGGCTGGCCTAGAACTCAGAGATTCACTTGCCTCTGTCTCCTAAGTGATGGGATTAAAGTCCTGTGCCACCACCACCCAATGTTCATATGTTTTTAAGGAAGAAGGGGGCATGAAGGCAAAAGTGCTAGACCCAGGACCATCCTTGGGGGCCCTTCCACAAAGGGAGTCCTATGACTTCACAGAGTAGGTCCCTAGAAGTGGAACCACAAAGATGGTTACTAGATACACCTGGGACAGAGAGCCCCCACCCACCAGGAAGGCTGGTGTTCAGTATCTGCCACTGTGGGTCACCCATAGCCCAAGGCAGAGGGAAGCTCCTATGGAAAGCCACCTGTATTCTCTGTCCCTCTGCCAGGGATGTGATCCGAATCACCTTCATGAGCACCTCCTTCAGAAACTCCTGTGTTGCTCTGAACATGCACCGGCAGGCGGTTCCCATTTTCATCACTGATGTGCTACTAGAAGGCAACATGGCCAACGTTTTAGGTGACAGTGGGGACATGGGACAGTGCTGGGAGCTGCTGTGGCCTTGGCATTAGTTTTAGACGCCTAGTGTCTCTTTCCCACAACTTGGTCTTAGACCTGCTGCTATGCACGATTAGCGAGTGGGAACAGTTTCCAGGTTCCTCCCGGAATGCTGTATACCCTCCCTGGCTCTCAGTATCCTGGACCTGCCCGTGCCCTGCCCCCCTGCTCTCATTGGACATGTCCCCTGTGTAGTTAAGACCTGTTCACTGCCCGTGTTCTCCAGAGTCCCTTTGGCTCCATGCCCTGGACACCAGGTGTCTTCATCACTCTGGCTGTGTGCTTCCTATGTGCCAGAGTGTATGACAGCAGGCACTATGGCTAATAGGCTCCCAAAGACTTGGATTTGATTTTAGGGGAGTTCCTGGGCCTGAGCACCCTCCTCTGAAAAGTGACGATAGGAGTGCTGCCTTGTAGCCTAATTGATGCAAGGCTCGGGACTGCACCCCATGGCTTGGCCCTCAGTAGGGTTTCCTATATCCTCTTGTTCCTGCAGATGTCATGCAGAATTTCTCCACCCGACCAGAGGTCCAGCTCAGGGCCCTAAACAAGCTTCTGACAATGCCAGAGGAAGATCTAGGTAAAGGTCCTGCACCTTCCCCAGAGGCTCCCAGGAAAGGCTGGGAGGTGGAAATGGAGCATTGTGGATGGAGGTGGGAACTGCCAGCCTTTCACTGCAGGCTCTTCTGGCCAGTGCTGCTAACTGGAATTCTTCCTGATCCCATGCTTACTAGCAGAGGAGGGTAGGAGAGAGGCTGGCTTCTATGCATGATTTCAAAAGGTCAACAGGAAATCCATCTAGCATTAGGAAGGCTGAGGCAAGAGGATGGAGACCTGGTGAGCTTGACCTATAGGGAGACAAAGCTTTGTTTTAAAAAAAAAAAAAAAGATGGACCACTTTTGGGGGTTGTAGAGGTACTAGAGACTGATTCTTGTACAATGCTAGTTAACCACTTCAATGCTGAACTACCTCCCCAGCTCTTTGGGGGTTTTGTTGTTGTTTGTTTTTAAAGTTTAGGAAAGAGTCTTACAAAGTTGCCCATGCTGGTCTCAAACTCACTGTGTAGTCCAAAAAGTCCTTGAACTTGTGATCCTTCTGCCTCTGCCCACAGAGTGCCTACAATTACAAGTGTGCACCATCACACCTGGTTGAAGAGCCTCATCCATCTGTCCCACCATCTCTACAGTGGGCATCTGAGGTGCTTCTCGTTTTCCACTGTTATAAACAGCACCATGATTGGTCACCTGGTATACTAGTCACTTGGCATATGTGGCCGTACGTGCTTGTCAGATGTACCTCCGAATAACAGAGACATCCCCCATAAGCACACCAACTTGCCTTCCTACCAGAATGCTTGAGAACAGCTCTTTACCAGCATCCCCTTTGATGGGTATTAAGCTTCTTGGGAAATTTTGAATGTCCGCAGACATGCTTTCCTGCCTCTCCTGCTCAAATATCATGCTTGTATGCCATCCATACACCCTTCCCTCCAGCTAGTTCACCACTTCCTCCATCCTTTCCTTCCTGTAACCTCCCATCTGTCCACCCACCCGTCTTATCCATTCCTACTTGTCTATCTATCCACAAAACACATCCAAAGGACACCAAAGATCTGTTTCGGTGGTTAGGACAGTGGAGGTTACATGGAGGCTGAGGTGTGACTCCTAGTGAGTTAACAGACCCTTCATATTAGCCATCACTCTCCTAAAGTCCCTTTTATAGCTAAACTGTGACCAAGATAAAGCCCAGGATAAGGTAGATTTTGCTTTTCTGGAAAAGAGGGGCTATTATCCCACAGGGGGCCTCACCCACCACCTTGGAGCTGTCTCTTCCTCAGCCTTGTCAGAGTGGACTTCCTATAGCTTTTTCCTGGGCATCAGTGTTCCTGAATCTGACGTCCTCATCACAAGCCAAGTCTCAAGACAGTCACAGCCACAGGCCCTGGGGTCAGACAGGCTAGCTTCACACAGCCATTTAATGCCAAATGCTCACCACTGACTCTCAGCTTTGCTGTCTAAAAGTGAGGACTGAGAAGACCTGCTTCATGAAGCTGCTCCAAGTGTATGCCTTGGCAGAGCTGGGCAAGTTGTTATTGTGCCTGTGGTCTTTCACTCAGGAGGCTGAGGCAGGAGAACTGCTGGAGTTCAGTTAGCTTGGACAACACAGAATGTGGACCTTGGCAGATGGTGTGCTTCACGAACTCTGAACACGTGGGCTGGTCGTCCTTCTCTGCCCTTGTGTTCACTCACCTGGACCCTCTTCATTCACTAGTGGGCTCCCAGCAGCCTCTGGGCATCAGGTCTGGGTCACACAGCCCAGCTGTTCCTGCGCTTCACCTGTGCTGCGTGCTCCGCAGACCTGCCATGGCCCACAGAGCTGGTGGAGGAGTTGATCAGCATCATGAAACAACACGAGAGGATCCTGGACATTCTGGTCAGCACCTGCTCCCTGCTGCTGCGTATTCTGGGCCAAGGTAGGCACCAGACTGGATGGAGAAGCCCCACCCTCCTGGGTCCTCAGCCTCAGCAGCTCCTCCAACTTCCCACCTATCCCCAACATCTGCCTTTCCAGTCTGTTGTTCCCTTCTGTGCCTATGTGACTCCATCTCAGAGTGGTAGAGGGCATAATGAATGTCTGCCTACACCAGGTCTACATGGAGCCTGACCCAGCCTGCTGGGACCTCTCGACTGTACTCCAGTCATGTCCCAGGAGCTGGACAGGATGGTCTAGTGCGCTTTCCTAGCCAGGAAAGGCTTGAAGTGTGTGATTGCCAGCACGGGACAGCACTGCACTAAAGTCCTTAGTAGAAGCCTCCCCCAGCTCTCAGGAACAGGAAGAAAACTAGCTACATCTTTAAGCTTGGAGCATCTAGTTACCCCTTTACCTTTCTAGTCTTAATACTGAAGGCCTAACCACCACATTGTGTCTTTTTTTTTTGGCGGCGGCGGGGGGGGGGGGGGGGGGGGGGGGGGGGGGGAGCGCAATCAAATCCAGGCCTTCTTGCAAATACTTTATACTAAATGTTCATGCCCAGTCATTGGGAAGGACCCAGGAAGATCTTAGAGGCTGGAATTGGAACACCAACCACATCCTTGGTGAGCAAGGTCCCATGTTTACAAAGACCTGCCCAGTGCCTAGAGAATAGGCAGATCTGTTTCTTTTATACAAAGAGGTGATGCTGTTCCCCACTAGGGAGGGAGGACACTTGTCTACCTTAGAGCCTTAACTGTGGGGTTAACTCATGTTCTTTCTCTGGCCCAATCAGCACTGGCAGAAGACTCAGAAGCGGAGATCCCAAGGGGCAGTTTTATCATCTCTTTCCTGATGAATGCCTTGAGGAGCCACCCCAACTCTGAGAGGCTTATCACATTGGTCTACAACCTGCTCACTATCATCTCCAGCCAAGGTGAGTATGCGGGCCTTCTGCCCTTCCTTTCTGCTCTGAAAATCCAGGGAGAGAACAGAGGCCTTGGGAGATGGGCAGGAGAGGGGCTCATTCCCAAGATGGATAGTCATACTGTTCTCTGCTCTCAATGGCAGCCATGGGCACTACTTGAAGGCTGAGGACAGAGGCCGAGAATCAAATGGCTGGCTAAGAGATCAGGTTAAGACTAGGCACTGGGCCACTCCAGGTCTCTGACTTCTCACCTACACTAAGCACACTCGAGTGAGAAGAGTATTAGAGGTAGGCATGAAATAGACCAGCCAGGCAGACCAGGTATTGCACCAGCCCACTGGGAAAAGGCAGCGTTGGGGAAAGCTTCTTGGATACCTTTCCTCCAAGTGCCTGTGGCTGTCCACAGGGTTGCTGTCTGAAGAGCTGGAGGAAGAGGGGTTGTTTCAGATTGCCCAAGAGCAACTGTACCACTTCCAGGAGGACAGGGACATCTGCCTCGCTATCCTAAGCCTGCTCTGGTCCCTTCTGATAGATGGTAAGGCCCTCCCTCCACAAGCCCCACTGCATGAGACCTGCTAAAGTAGTAACTCTCAACCTGTGGGTCACGACCTCTTTGGGGGTCAAACAACCCTTTCACAGAGATCACCTAAGACCATCAGAAAACAGGTATTACATTATGATTCATAACAGTGGCAACACAGATAATTGTATGGTTGGGAGTCACCACAACACGAGGAACTGTATCAAACGGTCGCATTAGGAAGGTTGAGAACCACTGGGCTAGAGCCTCTGTATCAGCAGTTCTCTGTAGCATGAGTCTTAGAGAGTCTTATTAATAAAACAAACCTGGAGCCAAGTATTGGGGTGAACACTTGGAAGATCAGAGAGACAGAACAAGCCACAGCTAACCTCACCTGGCCAACTTCTCAGCTGGTCTTGTTTCCTCAGACTGGAAGCTTCTGTGTCCTCATCCCAATGGCTCTCAGCTGAACTGCTGCTTGAAAGCCTGAAGCTTAACCAGCTAAAAGCTTAATCAGCCAAATGCTTCTAGTTTTTGGTCCTCACTCCTTATATACCTTTCTGCTTTCTACCACCACTCTCTGGGATTAAAGGAGTGAGTCACCATGCTTGGCTGTATCCTTGAACACATGGATTTCTGCCTCTGGAATGCTAGGATTAAAGGCGTGTGCTACCACTGCCTATCCTCTATGTTTAATATTGTGGCTGTTCTGTCTCTGACCCCAGATAAGTTTATTAGCGGGCACAGTATTTTGGGGAACACAACACCACCACAGTTCTCAGTCTGTTGCAGCCCACAGGTAGAGAGCTGCTGCTACTCTCTATCTTATCCCTTAAGCACAGGAGGGCAACCCCAGCCCCTTGGGGCTCTTCTGAGAGTCTAGCACATAGGCACAGTGAGACACAAGTGAGGTAAGAGAGGAAGGCCTTCAGGACGCCTTGTGCAATGAGTAGGCAGCCCCTGGCTTTAGAGGTCAGCCAGAACTTGATGCCCTGTTCTGGTTTTTGGTTTAGGATGGAGGTTCCGAGGTCTGCTCTCCCACCTCTTCTAGATACTGTCTTACCCTAGGAAAGAGGGCTCCAAGCCATGGCAACCCCAGAAAACTGCAGAAGCCACAAATGCAAAAAGTCCTCATCTCTGCTGATGAGTCTACCGCAGACTGTGGCATTGGAAAGCCCGTTTCCATCTCTGAGGACATCTATCCCCTTGATTCTCCTCTGTTGTTCTTGGTGGGAGGGAGCAGTGTGGAGGGGTACAGAGACAGCAGGTACTTCTGCTCATACCTGGCCTGTTGTCTCCCATCCTTGTCCTGGTGCTAGCTGCTACTGTGGACAAAGAGCCCTTGCAGAAGTTCTCACCTGTGGTCATCTTGGTGCTGGCCAAGCATCCCGAGGATGTGGAAATAGCTGAGGCTGGCTGTGCAGTGCTCTGGCTGCTGTCATTGTTGGGTGAGCAGCCTGAGGTCTTGGTAACAGGGAGGGTGACCCTGGACACATCAGGCAACAAGGCTTGTGCTCTGTAGGCTGCATAAAGGAGAGTCAGTTTGAGAAGGTGGTAGAGCTGTTTCTGAGAAGCATCCAACTGTGCCCTGACCGAGTACTGCTGGTGAACAATGTTTGTCGTGGCCTGGCCAGCCTTGCAAAGGTATCTGGTAAGTCTGGGACAAGACAGGTTGCCACCATGGAGGTGGGACAAAAGCTGGCTCCCTCCAGTGATGTCCACCTAGTGACCCCAAACTGGAACAGGAAAAAACAGCTTTCAGGAAATACCACTGGGACTTTTCGATTTTGATGTCTTGGGACCACATCTCCGCCGATACACATCCCACAGCTGCATGGATTTCCTGTATCTAAGTCTGTCTCTAAGTGCAGGCTTATGCCAGGCCTCACACTAAGTACTGGCACAGAGGCACAGCTGTCCTTTGTAGAGATCCCTGGGCCCAGGAACGGGTCATGGTCACCAGTGGTGAATGGCAGGGATGCTCTCACCCTTGGTTGGTAACGACTTACCTCCCTTGCTCCAAGAGCTATCTCCTTGGTTTCACTCCTGCTAGGTTCTACTCATGCCAGTCTACTGGACTACCCAAGCTGGTGGGGCCCCCTGGAATCAGTTAGGGATCTTAGCTCCCCCTGACTTATCCTGACACCCTTATACAAAGCAGCACCCTGTGGGGAAGGTTCAGCCCCTCTGAACCTTGTTAACTGCTGCAGGGGAGGAGGGTCACCTGCAGCAGAGCTCCTCTCCACAGTGCCACATCACAGCCTCCATTTCTCTGACGGGAGGAGGAACACAAGTGCTGTGTTTCCCTCGGGCATGGGGCTCGCTGCCAACGGATGCAAAGCTAGGCTGTAGAGAGGCAAAGTGGTGCAGTCACCTCTTCAACATTCTCCAGAGCAGGGGACAGCCCTGACTTCAGGAGCTTCCTCCACAGAAGGCTGGGATTCCTGGCCAAAGAGGGCTCTTCCAGCAACCCTAGGACCAGAGTCATGCTACTTCCCAGGGACACTGGGCACAGGGGGCTCAGAAGAAAGGGCAGCTGCAAAGGAACTATGCTAGACTATACTAAAAACCCAAATTCCCTTGCTTCCCTCCCCCAGAACTGGTGGCCTTCAAAGTGGCAGTACTGGAAGAAGGCAGCAGTGGCCTCTACCTCCTCCAAGATATCTACGAGCTCTACAAGGATGACCCTGAGGTGGTTGAGAACCTCTGCATGCTGTTGGCCCACCTGGCTTCCTACAGTGAGGACCCTTTCCTTGTCCTTTCCCTGGCAGGAAGGGAAGGAGCCCCAGAGCCTGGTCTCAAACCCCTGTGACTTCCCACTCATTCATTCCAAACAAAAGTAGCACCCGACTGACCTTATCTGGCTGGTGGGCAGGGATCCTGAACCTCATCACCTACTCTGCTCCTGCAGAGGAGATCCTGCCAGAGCTGGAGTCTGGAGGCATTAAGGACCTAGTCCGGGTGATCCGGGGACGTTTTACTTCTAGCCTGGTAAGTCATGGTGATACCTCTATCAAGCCAGAACACTTACATGGCACTGACCCAGAGCTCCCTGTGATCTTTTCTACGACTCTCTTCCTGTGGCTGGGCTGAATCCAATCCCAAGGGGGAAGGGTAGTTAGACCACCTCAAAGATTCCATCCAGTCAGGGGGTGTCATCAAAGTAATTGCTCCTGGATCCTGAAGCCACTGTAACAAATGGTTCGCTTGTTTCCTCCTTCCAGGAGCTGATTTCTTATGCTGACATAGTACTTCAGGCACTAGAAGCAGCTGCACACCCCAACCCCCTGGAGCAGCAGCTTGAACCTGCTTCAGAGCCGGAAGCCAAGGTCTCCTCCCCACCTCAGGATCCTATCTTCCAGCCCTGAAATGCTGCTCTTCTGGTCCTGGAAAGTATCACCAGGACCAGTACTGTGTTTTGCGGTGACTAATAAAGAAGCCTTAAGCTGTTCATGGCATGCCTGGCTGTGGTGTCAGCGGTCCTGCACTGCAGGGCTTCGGAAAATCCTAGATGATGGGAAGAAACTAAGCTTCCACGAACTTCATTTACCCATCCATTTATTTTTGACAGTGCTGGGAATGGGAGCCAGGGCCTTGCACACAGTGGACGAGTGCTCTCTGAGCCACACCTCAGTTCACAGCGACATTCTAAGGGTTGTCAGGTAGGTCCACAGAGTTCATTGGTCACTCTGTACTTGTTGCTAGCACACAGCAGGCAGATGGCCTTTCTGTTCACAGTGCCCCAAGTAGTAGGATCTTACACCTCTGGGTGTACCTCTGCCCCAAGTCTCACCCCAAGGACTGTGTGGGGAACACCGTACTGTACTGGATGTTGGCATTTTAGATGACTCTGGGCCAAGGGACACAGGAGTGAGAAAGTACCCCCAGCCTAGTAGCTTTAATCAAGTCGTCATTGGGCAGCTGCTGTGCTGGCCAGAGGGTTTGCAGCAGACTGAAGGCCCTTAGCCTGGATCCCTTAGGTCCACCAGCTTAGCTCCTTGCTTCTTAGGGGAAGGTGCTGAGTGCCCTTGCTGGCTGAATCCAGCTGTGCTCACTGTTAAGTGGTAGTACAGGTGGTCAGTAGATGTAGACACTGCAGCACACTCATCCATTCCAATGCTCTTTCCTCTGAACCTACATCAGACCCCTGACTTCTGTCTTGGTATCTGACTAGTCTACCTCGACACACAGGTGCAGGACCAGGTCCTGGTAGCAGAGTCCAGGAGGAGGAAGTTCCAGCAGCTCACACGCCACAACCCTGCAGCCATAGCTCTGAAAATGCTCACCAGAGTCCCTGCTATGCAGAGACCTGATGGGCCTCCATTACCCCATCCCAACTGCCACTGGATTGAGGAGTCGCTGAAGGATGGAGGGACGGTGACAGCAGTAGGTTGGTGCTAAGCGTACTCGCTGCAGTGGTTTGGGGTGGTGGCTGGGGGGCGCCGGTCTGCAGTAATGCTCTCCCATTCCCGTTTTGCCATGATGTAAAGCCTCATCGCTGCCTGGGCATCCTGGACCTGGGTGACACACAACAATGTTGAATGCCCAGCTAGTGAGAACACATGGCCACAGGCCACAGAAGCCACCCTATGACTACTGAGTCTTCATCATAGCCACAGCACTGAGACTGCAAGGCCAAAAGAGGCGCACACCTCATAGGGGGACTATGGAAGTATGGCAGTGAAGGAGAAAACTATGAAGAAATGGCTGGGACACCAGAGCACAAGCTAATTCCTGTGCTTCAGACTTGGCCACTCTGTTTATAGGGCAGAAAGGGAAACCCTACAGCAGCAGGAACGGATGGGGACGACAGACAGGACAGACGACTGTTGGCACAGGAGAGCCCAGAGCCATAAGGTGCTAAAGCACCTTGGTTAAGGTTCAGACAGGCTCTATTCCCCATGGCTCAAGTGCTGGAGCCTAAGTCATCAGGATGGCAGTATAGGGGTAATGGGACCTTTCAGAGTTGGGGCCTAGCGGGAGGTCAGAGTGTGCTAGAAACACATGAGGTAATTCTTGAGACACCAGTCAGTTCCTCCAAGAGTGAACTGTTGCTCTTCCCTCCTTGGCATCCCTCTGATCAGCTAAGCCTCATTACCATGAAGTCCCCAACCTCAGGTTTTCAGTAAAAAACTGTAAGTATACTAACAGCCTTCAATTAGACTGGTGAATTTTGTTCCAGATTCTTACAGTATATTATTCTAAGTATTGAGTTCAAGCTAAATGTAAATATTTAAGATACAATCAACATTTCATAAGCCTGATCTGCTTAGGATCCTCTTCTGTGTCTACTGTCAAGGGATACATGCCTAGGTATTAAGGTCAGGGGCTGTTTCCCAATGATTCTTACCGAACAGTGCTCTGCCTGCTGGACCCTGATCCCCAGAATTTTCTCAGAAAGTTGTTTCAGAGATGGTCTTCCACTCTGTAGAGAGAAGGTGCATACCACTGAATGTGCTTTCACAGGCTCTGCCCAAGGAGGACACAGCTGGCTACTGAGCACACCTAAGTTACCCAGTTTCCCTTTCACCAGGAGGTCTGTGGCATGTAGGGCTGCAACCATTAGCCTGCTGTGGCTTATGACACTGCTTATCAGCCAATAGAGGAGTCAGGGGCTGGAGCTCTACCAAGTAGTAGAGTGCTTTTAATTTTTAAATTTTTTTTTTTTTTTTTTTTTTTTGGTTTTTTCGAGACAGGGTTTCTCTGTGTAGCTTTGAGCCTTTTCCTGGGACTCACTTGGTAGCCCAGGCTGGCCTCGAACTCACAGAGATCCGCCTGGCTCTGCCTCCCGAGTGCTGGGATTAAAGGCGTGCGCCACCACTGCCCGGCTAATTTTTAAATTTTTATTAGTGATTCATAGGTATGTCTATCTGCATGTGGGTATGTGCATATAAGTACAGGGCCTGAAAAGGCTAGAGGTGTCAGGACCCCTGGAACTAGAGTTATAGATGACTGTGAATCACGTGACATGGGTGCTGAGAATTTAACTCATGTTCTCTGCAAGAGCAGCAAGTGCCCTTAACCATGGAGCCACATCTGAGGAAACATTGTGGAGCCAGTTCTCTCCCGCCTTCATGTGGGTTCCAGGGATCAAACTTATGCAGCAAACACTCTTAAAGGTTAAAATGAGAAACTAAAACAAACTAAATTCCTTTAGCCACGGGGTCAGTGAAAGGGACCAACAAAGGTTGAAGACTCATTCATTACGTACCCTTACACGACTCTTGAAAGGTTTGAATTTTTGGGTGTCCCTGATTTTCTTTTTTGGATGATCAAGGAACAGTACCTAGAGGAAAATGATGACAAGTATCTTCATTTCAGTCTGCAGCAGGGGAGCCCTCTTTTCCAAAGAACATCTCACAGGGCACCGGAGGTATAAGACTCAGAAAAAGGCAGAGCTTCTCAAATTAATCACTCTCACTTAAGGTGATGCCCAAAATTAAGAACCATGTTATAAAAATAAATCTTGGCCAGGTGTGGTGTACACTTTTAATCCTAGCACTCTAGGGGTGGAGCAGGTGGATCAAAAAGTAAATAGAATAGAATCTTGACATCAAGATGTTGAGGAAAAGTCAATTAACCTGCAACTGCCTTCTCTATCTGAGCTGAGTCTGTTCATGAGGAAGCAAAAAAAATGAAATTGAACAGCTTACCCTGCAACTTGGCAGACTTCTGGACTCACACAGCCCAAAAAAGTAACCCACTAGAGGAAGCATGTGTGGCCCTGGTGACAATCGTCTTTAAGGTAACTCAACGTATCAGTAGGTCTTGTATAGCAGGAAACTTTAGTTAATTTTTAATTGTTAAACATTTGTTATTTTTATTTCTTTGGTGCTGGGATGAGACCTGGGGCCTTATACACACAAAGCATGCATTCTGCCACCGAGCTACACCCCAGCCCCATACATTAGAATGGGAATTGAACTCCCATCTAAAGGTTCCTGAGACACATGAATAGTGACAGCACAGTTCATACCCAGGAAGGACAATGTCCACTGTTAAATCAGCAGGCATCTAAAAAGGCAGAAGCTGGAGGTCAGATGCCCTAGCACTAGGTGGAGTTCTCTGAGCTCTATCACCTAACTGGCTGATGTGTGGCCAGCCTTTGAAGGAGGTGACTAGCTAGAATGACACCCTGAGGAAACACATGCCCATCCAGTTCCTCACCTCTAGGGACAGCTGAAGTAGCAGCAGCAACAGTCAGCTCTGCCAACCTGAGATGCTGAGAAGCAGTGGGGGAGGTATCTTGGTGCGTACCCACTGCTCTCCTGGAGCCTTCTCTCAGTACCCTAAAACTCAGCTCTGTCACCCATAAGCCTGATCCCTACCTATCTTCAAAGGATTAAACAAGACCTGTTTACACTGTATGACTGCTGGTGACACCTAGTAAGGCTCTGGTGTCTGGCATTAGAAGTCCACCAGACCAGATGGCAGCGGAGGTGTCCCTTATGCCAAGTAGGCTATGCTCCTGTTTTCCTGCTCCACCCTCAAATGGACCAGACTGCAGTTCGCTTGTGAACTTAAAGCGACCCATGTAATAAACTCAGGCTAGGTCTTCCTCAGATGCCAGAGAACAGGAGGCTGGGCTTCCAGCATCACAGCAATGCCTAGATATAAACTGGGCACACAAGAACCCCAGGGCTTTGACAGTGTAAAGAAATTTGTCTCTGGTCATGGGGCACACAGTTAGACATCAGGCCATCTGCCAGATCAGACAGGTGACACTCAAAGCCCCCTACATAGAGCTGTCAGCACTCTGGCACTGGAACCACAGTGTAGTCAGAACTCTAAAAACAAGTACCTAATGCGGTCTCTCGAACACAGCCAGAGCTCAGATACCTGACACTATTCCTAGAGAATTTCCAAGTCAAGATAAAAATTCAAAATGAAAAATCCCCCAGAGTAGTGCTTCTAGAGACAGGCATGTGAGGCTGTGTGTAGCTCACAGGAAAAGATATGGCCCCAAGCCCAGCACCTTTAAATCACTGTGCAGTGCGTGCCCCACCAGGATTCTGCCCTTCAACATTTCTGCCACTTCCTTCTTCACAACCTCAAATTCTTCCCCTGAAAACAAGACAAAAAAGTGGTTAACAACACATAACTCACCAAGATTCTAAGGGAAGTTCCTCCCATTCCCTGGCCAGACTGATGACAACAGGTCATCAGTCTGGCCTTAATGATACACAGAGCTTCGATGGGAGGTAGGCCCCTAGAAGTGTCGCACTGGACCCCAGGAAAGTGCAAAGACAGGAGGGGTCCACTGTGCCTTGTGCTCTGCTCCTACTTCTGGGACAGTTGAAAAAAAAAAAAGACAAGCTCTACTCAAAGCCAATCTC